ACATATACTATGTTTTTCAGATTTTCAGTCTGAATTATTTTTCTTGTGAATGGGCATGCAGCTTATATGAGCAAAAAAAAAAAAATATTAAAAACCTGCAGAATGAGAAAAAAATTGAATCATACTAGCATGAGATGATACCATGGTTTTTGCAAGTACCTGCCCACCAAGTGCTTGTGACTGAAACAGATTGTGTAGAACCAGCACTCGCAATCGTATGTAGGGTAGTTAGGTTATTGCAATATAATAACATTCTCAAGGATATGATTGGTCATGTTTTAATATGAATCTCAACAATATCTTCACAACTTTTGTGGTTGTTTCACAGCAACTGCAAGAATGCATGAAGTTTAAAACACCTTGGGCTCGAAACCGATCACTTCTTCAAACCGAACAAAATAGCAACGTACGAATAGACATCCTCTTATCATTGTAATACTGATCCCTCTTAATTCTGCATACCAAATAATTCGAAACGAAGGAAAATACTAAAAATCAATTCTAAAAACCAGCCTTCCCTCGACGAACAAGATCCGAGTTCCGACAACGGACCATGAAATCAACACCAGTGGTGACAAGTTGAACAAGCTTTGCCCCCAACGCGTATGCCTGTCACCGGTAGGCTTTGTACATTGTAAATATTCTGATCGGGAGGATTTTAATAAACATTATGGAAGGTTATCTGCAGTGACAAACAGAAACCATATCAAATGAGTCTGTCGTTTCACCAAAGTGAGTAAAGACTACAGATAAAGGGAAGATAAGCACTGATAAAGAGCCAGAAAGCCACAGTTTCGTATCTAAATCATGGGTCCTAGAATAATGTCATTTCAACACATACAGAAAGGAAATATTATTAGAATGTTATTTTAGAAGATAACTATTTAAACTGATCAACAAAAACATAAAAATTCATTAAATACAGCTGTCGGTAACACTTTCAAACAAACTGATCATCCTTCCCAATCTCTCACAGAGTGCATTGCAATGCCCCATAACACCTCTGTAAAGGTCTCGCGTCATTTCAAGATCCTTGAAATGTATGCATAATTTTTCTCTCTTTTGTTATGTTATTTTGGAAATGGTTGTTTTTTCTTCTGGAAAATGACTTCTTTTAGTTTAAATGGTTATAAACTAATTGAATTATATCATGGAAGATCATTTATGAGTAAACACTCACTAATCGTCATTTTTTTTCGTTTTTGAACTTTTTTGACTACCAATGTATTCATGAGACAGATGTTGGTATTCTGTGACATCAGTGATAACTAGTGGTTAGCTATTGTATTGACAAATAACATTTAAAAAAGTCCAAATGTTTTTTACGCTGATCAATCGCCTACAAAACAGTCGACAGATGTTTCCTACATTTGTGTTGTCAGGGATGCCACCATATTTTTGCACGATGTCAAACTTTGACCTACTTGGAGGTCAACTAGTGGTAGTCCATGAGCCATTTACAGAGGTGTATTGTGACTGTTAAGGAACAACAACTCTGGTAGAGGTTGCATCAGACTGGGGTTACATTAGGTTGTACATTTTTTCCCCCACAATTTGCTGCACTTCTACAAAATGAACCCTCCCTAAACTGATCAAATATTCATGTCCCATGCATGGTTGGTTTGGAGAAGTTCAAAAGTATGTGGATCAAAGTGAAAAAAATTGATAAAACCTTACAAATATGGTATATTCCAAATTGGAACACTGGAAAAGATCCTATATAAAATTTTGGCTTTCTTGTTATAAAGTTGCTACAAATAAATCTGAGATCAAGTTTATTCTGAAAATCTGCGTGTGTCATCTTAAAGTAAGTGACCATTTACTCAAATCAGATTTATGACGAGAGATACAGTGGACAACACTAGAAAGACAAGCTTAATTGCTTGAACAAATGGCGCACTGATAAAATCCTGCAGGAGTTCCTTATGTAAATAACATCCTTATGAATATTCAACATATTCCTCAGGCTGATTTCTAAAAAACATTCCTCTGTCTTCATATGTTGCTATTAGTTTCCTTTTTCGTACAAATATATTTCATATCATCGATGTTTGTTTAAATGTTCCTTCATTTTGACTGACTAAATAGCAAGAAATTTAAAGTTATATCAATGATTTTTAAGCTGAAAGCGAAAGTTTGAACATGAGGAAGTTGTGATAAGATATGAGATGAATTGCTACAATGATGTAGATGTCTGACCAAGTACACATGACCCTAATGGTGTAGACAGGGGGATTACTGAAGAGCTCCATCAAGGGGAGGTAATACAGACAAGTCTTCTATTGATGTTTAAATTAAGCAGGACACACCGAAGTATCATTCCTCAGGGATTCAGACCAATTTCTTTGGAGAGTTGAGAATCAAAGAGACTATAAAGAATCTAGTCTACATTTTCTGAGATACAAATCTCATACTTCAGAACACACCTCTTTTTCTGAATAGATCTCATTACAATGTGAACAAGCAGAACTTAATAATGATGGACATACTCTACTCTAATTATCACTTTGAAGAAAGAACTTCTTCATGGATATTTAGACTTTGGGAATTAAGATATTGTTCAACTGAAATTGAAAAATGTCAAAACTGTTGCAGAACAGACAACAGACATGTTCAATACATTTTTCAAATATCTGTACAACATAACATTTCAAAGGCAGAAAACTTTAACTATGTAAACATTTATATATTAACATCTAAACCATTCACATTAAAGAAAGTGGAAATCAAATACCCCAAAACTGTTCTAGGAAAATGCATCCTCCACCTAAACTCTTAGTACTTAAAAGATATATATTTTTCCAAGAAGCAAAGTGGATTTGACTTTTCAAATGTTGGAATACATTAAGCAATTGATAAAGCTGATGAAATAGAAAATTAACCTGTCAGTTGTTTCACAAAAGTCCTAATGTACCACGGTGTAATGACCTTTTCATCCAACTTAAATCAAATTATCCATGGAGTCTTCTATAGGTAAACCATTAGAATGACACTTTGTTGAGTATATACTAACAGATTTCAGGGTATTTTACACACATTTTATGTTGGTATATGTATTGATGTGGTAAAGCACGATCTAACTCAAAGTCTGACCCAAAATGATGGCTATAAAGCTGTTGAAGTTGGTGCTCTGTCCTGTCTTTCATTTAACCTATCATTTAACATGAAAAATCATGTCAGCATTGCACTGCCTGATACACCAAAACAACATTAGTCTGTTTCAGTGTGCACTGCCTGATAGGCCAAAACAACATTAGTCTGTTTCAGTGTGCACTGCCTGATAGGCCAAAACAACATTAGTCTGTTTCAGTGTGCACTGCCTGATAGGCCAAAACAACATTAGTCTGTTTCAGTGTGCACTGCCTGATACACCAAAACAACATTAGTCTGTTTCAGTGTGCACTGCCTGATAGGCCAAAACAACATTAGTCTGTTTCAGTGTGCACTGCCTGATAGGCCAAAACAACATTAGTCTGTTTCAGTGTGCACTGCCTGATACACCAAAACAACATTAGTCTGTTTCAGTGTGCACTGCCTGATACACCAAAACAACATTAGTCTGTTTCAGTGTGCACTGCCTGATAGGCCAAAACAACATTAGTCTGTTTCATTGTGCACTGCCTGATAGGCCAAAACAACATTAGTCTGTTTCAGTGTGCACTGCCTGATACACCAAAACAACATTAGTCTGTTTCATTGTGCACTGCAGGAGGAATAGAGTTTTTATTTCCCCTATTGTGGAGTAGGATATCAAAGAATTTGCTATATTTCCCTATTGGACCCCACCCCTGTCGCCTTAGGGGACCCCCAAGACCCAGTGTTTATACAAAATTGGTTTTCTTCACCCAAGGATGCTTTAGACCAAATTTAAGCAAAATCAAATAATTTGTTTGGTGAATATAAAAATGTAACAGAACTAAATATAACTTTCACTGGCCAAAACAATAATTTGTCTCGTTTCTGTAATCAAAGATTGGCTGTAAACCCAAAATGAGACAAAAGTCACCACTACTGACCAGAAAGTTCACCTGAAAGGTAGCTATGGCTTGCAGAACACACAAACTTTATAATCGGTTGAATTAGGGCTTCACAGCTGTGAATCAAGAAAAACCAAAATTGTGTGAAGATTAAGTACCAGAAAAACAAACACATTACAATTTCTATCAAAATGTCATGACAGTTGCTCCATCCAAGGACAAGGGACGAGAGTCAAATAATTTCTATAGGTGTACCTTTACTATCCTGGAGCGCAAACATCTCTAAGACTATTAAAGTTAATAGGTCTCCATTATGGAAAGTTTGGTTAGTTTAATTTCCAAAAGCCATTTCTCCTGCCTTATCATTCCCATTATTAACACAGCTGGTCCTTATCGTTTTCATCACTGTACCTACCAGATTATAAAACCGGCTTTAATAATTGATTGATAAATATTATATTAAAGTGATGACCAAGTTCTAACAAAGAGTAAACAACTTGAAGAGAACTTGTGTATACAATAGAAATATATATTGATATAGTATCAAAGCTATGTTGTGAAAAAGATATCACACACGTGGCTCAGAAAAAATAATCCTTCAATAAGATAACAATACATGATGGAATGTAATCCACATCGCCACCATATGTAGACACTATATATATGATTTTCCTATTTTTGAATAATTCATGTATGGTTGTTGTGGATGTATCATTGGATATTCATATCGTCTAGAGCTGCAGTCGCTGTAATGTTTCATCAATAACATATCTGATATTTTTCATTTTCAAAACTCAGTAAATATTGACATCTAAATGATTGAGCACAATTTTATACATTTTGATTACTGGTTGATTAGAAATGAACATTCAAATATTTCTTAAAGTCAGATGTTTTACTTTTTACTTTGAAAAACACGAGAGAAATAAGACAAAAAGTCAGGATGTGATTAAGAGTTAACTGTGATACCTGCTTTCAGTACGCCCATTAATATTTCTGTAAAATATGATAAACATAACTTACCTTGAAATTCTGTTCTGCACTCTGACCACGGTGACAGTTCCAGTGATGCACTGTAAAGAAAACAGAAGTGTTATATCAAAGCTGCCTTCACTGTATTACATATAACAGGTGATCCACAGTCGCTAACGATCAGGATCTACTACCATTGAGTGGTCAGAAGTGTACAATCTCCCTCCAGTTTCAAAACAACTGAAAGGATCAACTCTAAATGACATTAGACACAATGCTATAAAAACAATGGATGGGTCACCTACAAATTGGCAAATTTTCCAATTCAATTTTGTAGAAATTTTTCAATACCTTTAAAAAAAGGCTGTGGTGATTACTATTAAGAAATTTATTTGGCTGGTAAAATGATTACCTAGAATCTAGAGACACATATCTCATTTTTATTGTGTAGTTTTTGTACTTTTGTAGATTAAATTTTTTGTTTCAGACAAAGCAATGGACCCTGGAGATCTACAGAATTATTGTGTGGCTCTGTTGGAGGGATCAAATGCAGGCAGCACAGGCGACAAACTTAACCAACCTCCCCTATTGTGTAAATTTACTCAAATGTCCATCTTCTTTTACTTCATTTTCGTATTAGCAAGAAATTGAATTTATAACTCTGTGAAAAAAACTTTTGATATCTCTTTACGTGGCACTTGGGAAACTTTGTAGATACAATTAAGCTCAGTCAGACTACTGTTTATTAAATAGCCACAGAAAAGTCGTTTTATAATCATATTTATGAAAATGCTCAATTCTTTTTTATTATGCAATTGACCATATCAATAATTGTATTGTACGTTAATGAAATTATTGTATATGCGCTATGTATTTTTTGTGTAAATCACGAAAGGCTAGATTTGCCCTACCATGCAATAAAAGGCACATTTTCCTTTAATCTTTCTAGTCTGTCTGATACCCACACACTTCCAGCAGTCTACAGACGGCGATAAAAATTTACTGCGATACTTGTTTTCACTACACCCATTTCTGGCCCTATATCAAGATTGTCTCCCCCTGATAAATATCTTTATATACCCAAAAAGAACAAGGAGTCTGATAAAACAGGCCATATAAGCACTCCCAGGAGATTCCAGCTTCAGTATAAATGTCTTTTCTCTTTTCGTATATTGGGACGGACTCTCCACTGACGTTGTCGATCTTCCTTGGTCCTCTCCTACAGGATAGCCGAGAGCAGTGAAAATGCATGTATCAAGTCCCAGACTCTATTGGTTACGTGTCAAATATGGCTAGTTCTTCAATTTTTCATTGAGAGATTGTTTTTTTCCCTCCTAGCCCAAACACTAATACATCTGTTCTTTCGATTCTTCATTGAAAAATAGGTTTTATCCCCCGTAGCTCATGCGTATGCCCAGGACAGGCCATTTAATCAATTTTTTATTGAGAGATTGCTTTCCTTCTTTGAACTTGAAGACCTCTTATATCTACATCGTAACATGTCAATGGCGTTTTTTTGTTTAACTTTTCATTCTCCTTTGCTTTCTTTGATAATGTTCTATAACACTATATTAATCATGAAATAATTCTCTTAAATATTGAAAATTTTGTTTTTAAGATATTTCTTTTCTGTAATTAATTTATCCTGTCTTGACCGATAAATATAAGAGATTTTGCAAGTTCAGTAAATAATTTCTATAACCTAATTTTTCAGCAGACTAAATTAATTTTTCAGTTCAGAAAACATTTCGTTGAACATTTTATAACAAAACAAGGTAATATGGGTAACATGTCGCTGGTGAAAGTAACTGGTGTAATCAAGGCCAAAACTCCACAATAAGAATATCAATCAATTAGCCAGCAGCTATGTCTCAGCCCAAGTAAAGCAAACCTATTGTACTATGATAGAAAAAAAATGTGATGGATCATATCTTAATGTTGCTTTACATGAGACCTGGCTATATTCAGTTTGAATCAGAAAATGAAACTAATCACAAAAAAGCTCAACTCCCCCCCACTCCCCCAAAACACAAAAGCTCAACTCCTCCCCCACTCCCCCAAAACACAAAAGCTCAACTCCCTCCCACTCCCCCAAAACACAAAAGCTCAACTCCTCCCCCACTCCCCCAAAACACAAAAGCTCAACTCCTCCCCCACTCCCCCAAAATGCAAAAGCTCAACTCCCTCCCACTCCCCCAAAACACAAAAGCTCAACCCCCCCCCCCAAAACACCCCCCCCCCCCCCCCCCCCCCCCAAAAAAAAAAAAAAAAAAAGTAACACAGATAGATCCATTATCTAATTCTTGGCCTGATCAAACTGTCATAAAGATTTGCTGTACTACAGACAACCTGCTGCAGCCTAATAATTCCGGCTTCAACAAATTAGCAAGAACTGATATCACTGTCAAAATACCATGCTAAAGTGACAATAAAAAACATCAGAGCTTCTCACTACAGCATAGATGACTATTAAATATAAAACATCAATAATCTATAAGTAATATCCTACAGCAATTTTATTTACTTTACTTATTGTTTCCATCAATTCAATCAAATTTAACTACTTAAAGACATATTTCATATTTTGTAAAGATATGTTTATGAAATGAAAATCTTGTAAAATTGATGTTATATATATATATTAATGAAAATATCAACAGCTCAGTAAACTTCAATGCACATCGTGTTTCTGATTATTATTCTCATATGTATATTTGTCTGGTTTCTGATATATATATATACACACACATATCAGATGTAGACATCTGTGTATCTATATATCAGTAATACTTGTAAGATACATATGAACTGCATAGTTAACTACAAAATAAAATAGCTTATAACCCAAGGAATATTGGCAACATTTTATCACCTCTTCAGCAACAATTGATATCAGATTAAAAGCTTTGTTCTCATTCTACTATACAGAGGGATGATTGGGGACTATAATTTCTGTTGTACCAGGACACAATTATGTCACTTTCATACCACACCAAGGTCAAGGTAATTTGATACACCAGTGATTTGCTTCAGTTCACTGGACATTTGATCTCGTACCCGTCATGTAATGACATTTCCAATCTAGTTATACTCCCTTTGGTATTTTATTTATGTCCTGGACTTCTCATGAGAACCTGTCCATGGAGTCTTGTATTTGAAGAAGACCCATTTCTTTTAGATTTCACGAGTACAATTAGGTACAGTAATTGGAAGTAGGAGTCTGGATCACCGACGTTGTTCCAATCAGACTCATCAACTTCCTGGAATGCTGTTTGACTACCTCATCATAATTAGTATATTCGTGTCAAGCTAACATTACACTATACTATCAAACATTTGCCACACTTTGATTTCCAGGCCTTTGTCTTTGTTACTGATGCAAACACAGAGATGATGTAGACTTTCAGCCCATGGTTTTATTACCATGACAACTACATAAATGACATCAAACTAATGTATGACCATGACCAATTGCAAGCAATGAAAGCAGAGAAGGCCTTTTGTGTCTACAATTTTCAACAAAGTTAGAGTCATCAAACAAAAGTGACCCATATCCTACTGCCAGACTTGGTACATACAGAGGATAAAAACGAACAGGGAATGTTTTATTGGTATTAAGTTTTTTGCGTTATATAATCATAGGATAATGTTCTGGTGTACGTTGTCTGGTTTCGTACTTAATACTCATTGGTGGAACCAACAAGGGCAATTACTCTAGTATACACCAACTCTCACAATTTCTGTCAGTTGATACTTTATTTTTTTTCATTTCAGTAATAATTACCATAACTTTAGTATGCATATAATCCACAAATTCCCATTCATTTGTATATAATAGAAACGAAAAAAGAGAGATCCCAATAACCCCCTGTAGGGAGCCCCTCTACCTGCTCACGACCTGAGACACGTCCTTCTTTATCCATGGCGTTGAGCTGATCAGACGTGTTTTTTTAAGAGTTAACATTCCTTTTGACAGATATATACATTTCTTAGGACTCTTTCTGAACTAAGGTATAAGACACCAATACTAATTTCTCTGAACTAAGGTATAAGAACGCAATACTAATTTCTCTGAACTAAGGTGTAAGAAAGCAATACTAATTTCTCTGAACTAAGGTATAAGAAAGCAATACTAATTTCTCTGAACTAAGGTATAAGAACGCAATACTAATTTCTCTGAACTAAGGTATAAGAACGCAATACTAATTTCTCTGAACTAAGGTATAAGAAAGCAATACTAATTTCTCTGAACTAAGGTATAAGAAAGCAATACTAATTTCTCTGAACTAAGGTATAAGAAAGCAATACTAATTTCTCTGAACTAAGGTATAAGACACCAATACTAATTTCTCTGAACTAAGGTATAAGACACCAATACTAATTTCTCTGAACTAAGGTGTAAGAAAGCAATACTAATTTCTCTAATCAGTCTTTTTAGAAATTCAATTCTGGCGTGTAAAACTGGAGAATTATATCATCTTCTACATGTCTGCTGTATTACCTATATTGCATTAAATATTTCATTAGAGTTCTGAATAATGAAAATATATAGCACATTGTCAGTTTTAATCATTACCTTCATTATATATGAACTATCTAACTTTGTAACATTAATTTTCAAAACTTGCATGGAAATGGAAATGCATGCCAACATACAGAAAACATTGAAATCATCCATGTATGCACAAGTTGTAATAATCTCCCATTAGTTTTATCTAAATAGCTGCTTAAATCCTTTAATATGGCCTTTCAACCACCTGATCTTATTCTATTCCAGTACCTTCTCAGTCCCAGTATAAACCTTCTCTTTGTACATGTTTTTCCTCAGTTTCATCAAATTTGTTATAGACATAGTATTCTGTTAACATGCTGGTATTTTCTTTATTAGTCATCATTACCCTAAGATATCAAGACAGATATCCTTTTTGAGGTCCTCTCTTTATACAATGCTGTATCCCATTACCATCTCATAATATTTTAACTGCATCTCCCATATTACCTGTGCATATCACTACATATTAAAACCTTGCTTCAAAAAAAAACATTTTTGTTTCTAAACTTTTCAACAAAATATTTCAAAATTTTACAAAGAAAATTTCAT